AAGGAAAATTTAAGTCTACTTCTCATAATGGTCTTACTTCTATGCCTTATCTGCCCGACAGAGTTACTAGGTTGCCCTATGTTATCTCTAGTTAAGGGACTCGACATATTGAAGATGTCTTGGCAAAACTGGTTGGCGTAAACCCCTACAGTGATCCTATTGGTCCAGATAACAAGATATGTCTTGGCAATACCTTTTTGCGACAACATTAACATCTAACCTATCACTCATGCACAACTCCTTTTAGTTGAATGCAATCCTAGCCCTACCCCTAAGGTCGATTAGGCCTAGTTACTCTAGAACCCCTTGCTTATATGGTTCCTCCATAGTTTCTCTCTAACACTACAGATATGATACCTAGACATTCTCTTGAACACTAAGTAATCTCTTAAGGAAAGGCTACTCTCATAGCTCTTACAACTTTAAGGCACTAAAATCCATAAACAAAAGATAATAACATAGAAAAATAACCATTCATTGAAGCAAATCTTAAATATCCAAAATAAACTCCCACCAAATAGGATTAGTTCATGGTGGGGTTCGAAATAAGCAAGCACAAAGCAAGTTAATATGTTCCTTACAACCCAAAAGATAAAATATGTAAGAAAAAAGCAAAGGGAAGGAGGAAAAGCCTTCAACGTGCACTGTCAGAGCTTCCCTCGGCCACCATGAACTGTCCAAGCGAACTAGCTCCTCTTGGATTCCTAGAACGCCACTCCCTCTAGCTTATCAACGGAGGAATATCGCAGTAAATAGGATTGATGGGGAACTTTTTCTTCAAATTTTTAGCTCTTGGCGGCGTGGGTAAAAGTTCAAAAGTCCCCCTTTTCATTGTGGCTTCATCTTCTATTTATAAGGAGAGAATGAACCTAGGGTTTTGTGTTAAAATTACCCCAGTACCCTAAGGTTCATTCTTTTATGTGAAAGTTGGTGCATAGGTGGTAATGGGCCCCTCCTATATGGCTGATTACAGAAATCACGTATAGTCAATGACAGCTGGCTCTTACTAAAAATATATTCTTTGACTTTTTTCTGCCCAGAAATGTCGTACGAGTTGTCGCGGCAATCGCATTTTACTCAGTAGTCTCATCATGTCATGGCAATTCCCTTTTGCTTATCCTTTCTCCCAAATCCTGCACATTATCAAACAAAACACATTCCCCATAAAGCAGCATTGATTATAAAATAAAATGCCTCGACAAACTGATTTCCACCACATACAACTATATGCTCCTAAATGCATCTATATGATCCTATATGAGCTCTTAGACAGTCAATAACTTAAGTGAAAAGGTCCCAAATATAACCTTTTTACGGAGTTATCACACCCCCAAACTTAAGCTATTATTTTCCTCAAGTAATGGATAGTATTAAGAAAAATAAAAATACAATGGCAAGTTCAGAAACAAAATAGTTATATGGGATAGAATTTTAGCCCTAAAAACATTTGGCTTCAACATTCTAACTAGTTTGAGAAATCAAGTGTTGTCCCCTAGGGCAAGATTCTTTGTTTGGGTGTGTGCGTGTTTGTATCCAGTCCATGTTTAACAAACCTAAAACTTTTCTCCGCAAACTTTCTTGTTTTTCCACGACATTCACAAGTTTTTCTCCCACATTGTTTTCTTTTTTTTCTTTTTTTATTAATTCTGCTACGAGGGGAGTCAGCCCATCACACGTACCATTCCACACTCTAGATGAAAGGGAGCATACCTTCCACCCCGCGAGCTAGTCAGGTAGAGTCATCCCGTGACTACTTTCATTCACTCATATGTTGTGGCTGCTATTTATTTATAGTTTCCAGGCAATGCCATGACATAGTGGAGTGTCCCTCTACAGATATGCCGAAGCATTTATTCACAATTTATTTTTTTTTTTCTTCTTTTTTAAAGTGTGGGGTTTTTATCATTCAAAGTTTTATGCCACAACATTCAAGAATTCTCTTATAAAAAATTTCTAAGTTCCTTAAGCATGGAAAACATACAATCGTTTTTTCAAAGGGTTCAAAGAAGCAAGTCCTACAGTTGGTTCTATCATCCTCAACAGTCATGTACATTCTATCCTAGGCATCAAGAGTTTATCATCATCGGGCATCACTAATTTATTCCAGAAAACTATTTCTAACACTTACTAATGTCATGGCATATTCATTCTACTAATACTATCATGCAATGATTTGGGAACCCTACCTCCCCCAAACTTGAGAGAAGCATTGTCCTCAATGCTTAAAAACTAAGGAAAATCTAAACTACATGCTATGAAATGCAATGCAATGCAAAATACCTTGACTTTTTATGCGGGTGGGGGTGCGGCAACCGTACGACGTGTGCGCTTTTGTAGTTGTGTAGGGATGGAATGTTCAGAATCTGATGCTGGTACAGTTGAAGGTTGGATGGACCCTAACCTTGCAAAGAAAAATATAATAACCAATTAAAGGAAACTGAATAAAAACAATAACAAAATAAACATTTATTTATGCACAGGAGTAAATCCAAAATGTAACGACATCTTCAAGATGCTTGGCAAGTCTCGATATCGTGAAAGAGAAGTGCAAATTTGTCATGTTCGATTGGAGCACTAGTATAGACCAAAATGCCCCACACATATAACAGTTACACCTTCAAAATATTTTTCCCTGGCAATTTTGTTTTTCACATATGAATGTAGGACCTTTTCAGTAGTCCTCTCTCCTTCAAAGTGCTCTCTGCATGAAGCTGAATGATATGGAATGAGATCTCTTTTCTCTCCTTTTTTTTGTGGCAACTTGAAACCATTGGGAAGCAAATTCGTTGAAGAGGTTGAGGTCATCCATGTGCCAGTAGCCACCATTGTGTACCTTGTTCTTTCCTAGAACAGTTACACCTTCAAAATATTTTTCCCTGGCAATTTGTTTTTCACATATGAATCGTAGGACCATTTCAGTAGTCCTCTCTCCTTCAAAGTGCTCTCTGCATGAAGCTGAATGATAGTGGAATGAGATCTCTTTTCTCTCCTTTTTTTTGTGGCAACTTGAAACCATTTGGGAAGCAAATTCGTTGAAGAGGTTGAGGTCATCCATGTGCCAGTAGCCACCATTGTGTATGACCTTGTTCTTTCCTAGACTATTCAAGTAAGGACTTTCTCTCCTTTTTTTTGTGGCAACTTGAAACCATTTGGGAAGCAAATTCGTTGAAGAGGTTGAGGTCATCCATGTGCCAGTAGCCACCATTGTGTATGACCTTGTTCTTTCCTAGACTATTCAAGTAAGGAAGCAAAACAACACTAACAAGAAAATTGACAATGTTAACATGCCAAAAAATTGTCTCGACAAATAATAATTTCTCATTAGGGAAATATTCCTTAATCTCCAGTTCATTCCTTAATTATTTTATAATTTCTAGCCTAGACAGATGATCAATCACTTGGGTTTAGGATGAGAAGTTCAATAGAATCCAAATGTTCAAATTTCATACCTGGTCTAGCTATGGGTAAGCTAGACGGACTCATCTCCTTTGGAATATCCTCGAGCTCCTCTTCGTCTTCTTCCTCAGGCTTCAATTGATTATTAGTGCATAAAAAATTGTTGAGGCAAAATTCTGCAACTTTTCTTTGGTCATCAATTCCTACTGATGGGGGTTTTTCTTTTGCCGTGGCAAAAATTTTCTTTTCTTAATTGGTTGCACTCTTCGAACCCTCATTATTGTTTTCCAACGGATGTGAATCTTCTTGCATCTTCGGATCTTCGTACATAATCTCATGATCGGGCTCTCCGAGTGTCTTCCCTCCAAACTTGGCATCTTTGTAGATTTTGGTGTCACTCCTTAAGGTGAATGTACCACAATACTCCTTTCTTAAGCCTTAGTGACTTCAGTATCACTAGGTAGGCTGTCATATTGGTAAAAATGTAATGTCGTGGCAATTTGGCCAACCTGACCCTCCAAGGCCCTTAAAGACGAGTTGTGGCTTTGAAGCAAAGCTTCTTGGCTTTTTATAGAGGTCGCATGGTCATGCAGCATAGTCATGCAGCATGGTCTTCGTGGTTGCTATAAAATCTTGTATTGTGGCCTCCAAAGAACTTGTGTTGGATGAAGATGGCACTCCCTCATTAGAATTATGTCATGACATATTTGTTCGAAAACCCTGTGAGTCACTGAAGTTCCGTTGCCTAGCGGGCTGACTAGCATTACTGGTTCCTTGATTTCCCCAAGAGAAATTTGGACGCTAACACCATCCAAGATTGAAGGTGTTAAAATAGGGGCTGTTATTGCCTCGATTGTAGTTCCCTACATAGTTGATGGACTCCAGATTGGTCGGACACTTGCTCTCATGGTGATTGCCATGGCATAATAGACATGCTGAGTTGGATGCCTTCATTCTAGTTTTAGACCTTGAATAGGGAAATTGGTAATCATGGTTAGCAATTTGATCAAGAATTTCAAAAGCCTCTTCAGGTGATTTGTCAAGAAAAGTGTCATTTGTCGAGGCATCTAGCATCATCCTCGTGAGTGCATTGGCTCCATTGTAGAACATCAAGACTTGAGTCCAATCATGGAATCCATGATTGGGGCACTTGCGAAGCAAACTTTTGTATCGATCCCAGCACTCATACATAGACTCTTCATCGCCTTGGTGAAAAGATGCTATGACATTTCTAAGATGGTTATTCATATTGGGTAGATTATGCCGTAGCAAAATTTTTTTGCACAAGTCAGCCCAAGATTTTATCGAGCCAGAAGGTAATCCATTGAGCCATGCCCTGGCGTGATCTTTCAAAGAATATAGAAATAACTTCAATTTCAGCACATCTTCATGCACACCTTGTTGTTGAAAAGAGTCACCGACCTCTAAAAATGCCCGAACATGTTGTCTTGCATCCTCATGAGGAGCACCACCAAATTGTCCAATCAAGTCCAACATGTCGAACATAATAGGTTTGAGCTCAAAGTGGGTTGCCTGAATCTTGAAAGCTACAATAGCAGGTTTTAAGTCATCCAAGGTGGGAGCTAAGTAATCTCTAATAGTTCATGGTTAAGCAGCATTCCCATCATTTGGAATTGTTGTGGCTTTTAGAACTACAGGATCCTTCACCTGATTTTGAACAACATGAGCCTCAGGTTCAATATAAAATAATGGTTTTTTGGGTCATTTACGGGTCATGCGACAACGTAACACCTGAGAAAGGTAAACCAATCCCCGGCAACGGCGCCAAAAACTTGTCCGCGTTTTATGACTTCTAAATATGGACGCAAAATATGTGCAAGTATACATAATCGAACAAGTAATACAGTGATGAGTGAGTATCGTATCCACAGACATTGGTAAAGTTTATGACCTATTCTAAAGTAACTAAATAAAGCTAATGGTATTCACAAATGAGAATGCTATGGACAAATGAAATGGATGATGGTAATATGGGAGCAAATGGAGATGTCATGGCAAATTATATTGTGTTCAGTACAAACAAATAAAAATGTAAAGGCAAAATAAAAAGTAAATACTAGATTTGATTATCAGGACTTTAACTTCCTCACACGACAAACAACTATAGGAATGAGTGATAGGAGTCACTAAAGAAAATTTAAGTATACTTCTCTGAATGGTCTTACTTCTATGCCTTATCTGCCCGACAGAGTATACTACGGTGTCCTATGTTATCTCTAGTTAAGGGACTCGACAGATTGAAGATGTCTTGGCAAAACCGATTGGCGTAAACCCCTGCAGTGATCCTATTGGTCCAGATAACAGGATATGTCTTGGCAATACCTTTTTGCGGCAACATTAACATCTAACCTATCACTCATGCACAACTCCTTTTAGTCGAATGAAATTCTAGCCTTATCTCTAAGGTGGATTAGGCCTAGTTACTATCTAGAACCCCTTGCTTATGTGGTTCCTCCCTAGTTTTTCTTGAACACTACGAATATTCTACCTAGACATTCTCTCGAACACTAAGTAATCTCCTAAGGAAATGCTACTCTTATAGCTCTTACAACCTTAAGGCACTAAAATCCATAAACAAAACAGATAATAACATAGAAAAATAACCATTCATTGAAGTAAATCTTAAATATCCAAAATAAACTCCCACCAAATAGGATTAGATCATGGTGGGGTTCGAAATAAGCAAGCACAAAGCAAGTTAATCCGTTCCTTACAACCCAAAAGATAAAATATGAAAGCAAAGAGCAAAGGGAATGAGGAAAAGCCTTCGATGTGCACTGTCGGAGCTTTCCTCAGCCACCATGAACTGCCCAGCGAACTAGCTCCTCTCGGACGCCTATAACGCCACTCCCTCTAGCTTATCAATGGAGGAATGTCGCGGCAAATAGGATTGGTGGAGAACTTTTCTCTGAATTTTTAGCTCTTGGCGGCGTGGGTAAAAGTTCAAAAGTCCTCCTTTTCATTGTGGCTTCATCTTCTATTTATAAGGAGAGAATGAACCTAGGGTTTTGTGTTAAAATTACCTCAGTACCCTAAGGTTCATTCCTTTTATGTGAAAGTCGGTGCATAGGTGGTAATGGGCCCCTCCTATATGGTTGATTGCAGAAATCACATATAGTTAATGACAATTGGCTCTTACTAAAAATATCTTCTTTGATTTTTTTCTGCCCAAAAATGTCGTCCGAGTTGTCACGACAATCGCATTTTGCTCAGTAGTCTCATCGTGTCATGGCAATTTCCTTTTGCTTATCCTTGCTCCCAAATCCTACACATCATCAAACAAAACACCTTCCCCATAAAGCAGCACTGATTACAAAATAAAATGTCTCGGCAAATTGATTTCCACCACATGCAACTATATGCTCCTAAATTCATCTATATGATCCTATATGAGCTCTTAGACAGTCAATATCTTAAGTGAAAAGGTCCCAAATATGACCTTTTTACGGAGTTATCAAGTGTCAATACCCATACGCTCCCAGCAGACTTTTCAAATGGATTTCACACTACAACGACTCTATTGACTCCACTATGATTACCAACGTTCAGAACTCATCCAATGAGTATTTAAACAAGTTCTTGAAGCTATTGGTGATCAAGAGAAGCTATAGAAACAAAAGAGAAAGCCTTAAACATCAAGTTTGAGCAATTCAAGCCAAAATCCATTCAATATTCATTTTACTTTCAAGAACACAATTTGTGCTCAATTGTAATTATTCTTGAGTGTTCTTTCTTTGTTCTAGAATTGTGCAAACATATTACCTTGTGAGGTTTTTCTGTAAGTTTGTAAAGTTTGTAATTTTCTCTTTGAGAAGAAAGTGTCTCAAGAATTTGGGGTATAATTCTTTAGGGAGTTGTAAGGTTACTCTTTGTCCTCAAAAGAAAGACAAATTAGTGAATTTGTGAAAAATCCTTAGTGTGGATAGCTAAGGTAGTGGACGTAGACTATGGTTGAGAAAGTCGAACCACTCTAAATCGATGTGCAAATTATTTCTATTTTCTATCAAAGCTTCCACCAAAATTTTAATTGTCAATTCACCCCCTCTTGGCTATTTCATCCGATCGATTAACTCAACATGGTGTAATCCGATATCACATTCGAACCAAATACGAACTTGAAATAAATAAATTGTATTTTGTTAATTATTAATCCATTTCATTTTAAGTTGAACATTGCAATGAATGTCTCTAAATAATAATTTATTTCATTTCATGTAAATTGTCGATCTTAATTCTACATTTTATATTCGATTCATTTTTTAGTTAATCAATTTATTTTGTTGTATGTAAATATCGATTTTTTATATTCTATTCGCATTTTTAATAAATGAGGAGAGAATATTCTTTAAAGATAAGAAATAGGCGAGTTAACTTTCCCGACGGAAGATTGCTAATCTCGAGATTTCTTTTCAAGTTAAAAAATTTTATCTGATAAATAATTCGAAGCATATTAATTATATTTCAATAAATGAATAATATTTTAATTTTATATTTGATTCATACTTTCCACCAATTACGGCAACATGTAAGCGATTTCAGTACTAATTTTAGGCGCTGTGGGGGTGCTAATCTTTCCCCACACGTAACCGACTCCCGAATCCGTTTTAATCGAATCTTTGTAAACGCATACCAATTTTTTGCCTTAAAAAACGATTTTTCTTAAAATTGTTTTTAAAAAGACGTTTTTAGGTATTCAACTTACCTAACTCAAAGGTCGATGTCGACTATTTTCCATTTTATTCAAATTAACCCAAAATACCAATTTTCCCAAATTAAAATCATAATCGTTTTTAAAATAATATTTAATTGTTTTATTAAAAAAATGGTTATGATAGTTCCCATGCACTGTGCTCGTTGGGGGTGGTGTTTCCCTGGTTCAGTTTGAGACGACTTATACGGATGGCACCGCACAACTAGGTTTATGTGGGGACTTTATGATTCCGAATGCTCCAACTTGGAATAGTTCGCTTGTTCAACAGGTTTTTACGGCTACTGATGCGGACGCGATTCTTCAATGTGTTATCTGCCCCATCCATTCTGATGTTCTTATTTGGAGTGGTAATTCATCAAGCACATACTTCGTCTGTTCTGGCTATCGATGACTTCTTCAGCGTCAAACACCAACATTTCATGCCTCCATGCTTTGGCTATTTCTCTTGCGCTTACATACACTTCCTCAGATTCGTATGTTTGGCTGGCGAGCTGCTCATGAGGTTGTTCCTGTTGGCTGTCGACTCGCCCACGTTGGTGTTTCTGAAGTATGTTGTTGCTTATGCGGATCTCCGAATGAAATCGTCTCCCATGCTTTGCGTGATTGCTTGCTGGTCTCTCCAATTCTCTTCGAAGCTGGTTTCGATTGTCGGTTGGAAACACGGAATTTCTCATCCTTTGGTGCTTGGTTAGAGAACATGATGCTCAATTTGACGGTTCAACGATTCGTTACACTTTTGGTTTTGCTGTGGAAAATTTGGCATCGTCGGAATTTATATTTTTATGAAAGACGCTTATTACCTGGTTGGCAGGTAATCGCTTCGTCCACTGCTCTTCAGTCGGTCTTCTCAGCTGCGATAGTAGCGTCTTCTACGTTGCCATCTTCGGTGCATTCCGGTCTCTCATGTCAAAGATGGAAGCAACCACCAGTTGGTACTTTTAAAAGTAATGTGGATGGGGCTTGTCCCCGTTTCCCAGCATCTACAGCTATTGGCGTTCATGTCCGGAACAACGCTGGATCGGTCATGGCGGGTGAGGCTTTACCAGTGGTGCCGACTCGATCGACGGGAGTTGTTGAAGCTATGGAGCTTTCTCGGGGGATCCGATTGGCAGTGGAATTAGAGCTTCCGTCGGTGGTAGTCGAAAGTGATTCAATGAGTGTTTTGTAGCAGCTGCAAAACCGGTTAATGACCGATCTGCTATTCGGTTCTATCTTCTTGTAGGATGCTCATCCCCATATTTCTATCGATTTATTAGGCGCGAAGCAAATGGGGCCGCACATGGTATAGCTACTCGATTACGTTTATTTCCTTTTCCTCTGTAATTCCGAACTAGCTGAATGTTATTGTTTGTGCTGAATTAATGTTTAATTAATGAATGGTTAACTTCAAAAAAAAAATTAAACTAATGTCATTAATTAATTTAAAATATTAAAATTAATATTTTAATCTTATTATTATTATATTTCTTTATTTTTATGTTTTATATATTATGAAATAAATTAATTAATTTATGATTTTAATTTAAGCATTTTTTTAAAAAGTGTCATTCACTTATATTTAGAACTTAAGGGTCATTTTTTTATTTTGTAATAGATTCAGTTTATCATTTTCGTCCATAAATTACGTCCATAAGTTATTTTCGCATCAATTTAAATCTTAAAGTTGTTTAATTACACCATACCCTAAGCCTAATTTAAAATTTTAAATTCTAAACTCTAAATCTTAACCCCTAAGCTTAAAACCGTAAACTCTAACTTAAAACCTTAAATAATAAAAAAATATTTTAAACATTGATACAATTAAATAACTTTGAGGGTTAGATTTATGCGAAAATATCATAGAGACAAAAGAAAATAAATTAAGTATATTACAGTGACAAGTGACCCTGAAACCTAATCTAAATATTAACTTAACATTTGAGATGAATTCATAGGTGACCTCGGTAGTTAAAGGAAATATTGTTCGATTCTAAATTTAAACAATTACGTTTATATAATCATCATAGACTATTAAAAAAAACTTAAGATAATTTAAACAAGGGAATCAATTAAAATATTATATTAGTGACACATTTTCTGCTACATTTTAACATGTTTTTGATCTTCTTTATCAGTCGTTTAGTCATTTTTTTCGTTTGTATTTTTCTCAAGGTTACATTTGACATTATTTCATCTGATCAAGATGTCATTTATTTATTATCTTATTAATCTTTCATGTTTTGAATCCACGAATTATATTTGTATGCAATTGCATTCATTTTCTCACGTCACTCGATTCTAGTTATATCTATTAGTAATTTAATTTTTTTTTTGATTTATTTATCAATACAATCAAAATTTTTTATATCTATTTTTTTTCATTACACAAGGAACAAGATCTGGATTGATTTCTACATTCACCTAAATGCCTTCTCTGACAATGGCTGCATATCTGAATATGAGAATCTCTACCTGAACGACTGATATTATTCAGAGCAGCAGTTCTAACAGAAGAACGAACAACGGACTGAGGCTTGGGCACAAAATTTGACTTTGAAGGTTGAAAAATATAGGATTGAGTTGGGCATTGATGCTTTTTTGATGACAAAGGTTGTCGAGAAGACTCCTTAGCTCTTTTTTTTTTAATTGAAAGAGCCTGTTACAAAAGGCTAGATAAGACCAAAGTCTTCTTGCAGAGTGCTACTTGCCTCCAAAGTTAGGAGGCTGGCGAGTTCATCCGAGGGAGAACTAAAGCAGAACAGACCAAAACGATGATCCGGGGCGACCTTGGCCATCCTATCAACAATCTTGTAACATGTTCTTGCAATCCAGACAATTTTTTTTGTCCAAGCACGTTTCCTCAAGCTCACAATAGCACGTACCAGGGGAATGGAACAATCAGATGCACCTTCACTATTCACAAGGTTGACCGCTTGGCTGCAATCGGATTGAACTAAAAGCCGTGGAATACCCAAACTCCACGCGATAAGTAAGCCTTCGTATATGCCCCAGAGCTCCGCTTGCAGGATTGATGTCGACCCTACGTTCCTCGCGAAGCCTGTAATCCAGTCACCGTTCGAATTCCGTATCACACCACCAATTGCTCCATAATTTCTAGTATCTGTTACCGAACCATCGGTGTTTAAGCATATCCATTCAGGAGGGGGTAGGGTCCAGGTTGTGGTTCTGACAGGCCTTCTCGGAACATTAGTGGGGGTTCTGAAATGACTCTCATAACACAACGCCCAACAATGGCTTCGATGGATAGCTGAGTCAGCATGCAAGGCAACACCATTGAAAACGTAGTCACTCCTTTGTTTCCACATTTGCCAAATGAGGGCTATGAAGGAGGACCAAGACGGTTCACCATCGCAAAGGGGCTGTTGTGAATTAATATTCTTCAGGATCCATTGTTGGAGGCCGGCGTTAAAAAAAAAAGTGCACTGATACTTGGGGGAACAACACGCTGCCATAGATTTTTACTCCGAGTACAATCACGCAGCATGTGAAGGACAGTTTCAGAGGTAGAGCCACAAATCGGACAGAAAGCATTGCTGGAGAGATGTCGTTTATTTCGCTCATGATTAGTCGTGAATTTTTCATTGTAAGAAAGCCAAGTGAACAGGCGGATGCATTGGGGCGCAGTGATAGACCAAATCTTCTTCCACGCTACATTCCTATCATTCCAATCATTTTCCATGAAGATACTAATTTTTTACCCATTATTATTATTATTATTATTATTATTATTATTATTATTATATTATTATTATTATTTTATATTATATTATTATTATTATATTATTATTATTATTTTATATATTATTATTATATTATTAAATTATATTAAATAAATCTATATAAATAAATAATTACAGACCAATTACAACTGGACCGGCCCAGTTACAAACAAACCAGAACCGGTCCAGATTAAACCAGAAACCCTAAACATCTGGGGTTCCAGTTAGGGTTTCCTAACCCTAATTTCCTCAGCCGCCATCTTCAATTACCAGCCGTTGGATCTGGTTTGATCCAACGGTCCACAGTTTGCCAGAGGAAACCCCTAGGGACACGTCCCAGCGCCGCCGCTGCTGCTTCCAGAAGCCTTCACGCCACACCAACGTTCCAGCCTCCACCACGTCTACCAAAGTCCAGAAGGCTGGCCGTAGCCGCACACGTCTCCCCAAACGGTGAGTCACCACTGGGAGTCCGGTGACTCACCAGAGCATTCTCGGACCGGTCTGAGACGAACACCGGTGATGGCTATAAAGCCATCACCCCATCTGCAGCAGAAGAACCAGAGACAGAGAGACAGAGGCAGAGACGGAAACAGAAAAAAAGAGAACATAGAAGACGAAAAAAACAGAAAAAATATACTAAATATACCAACGATCTCAGTCAACATCAACGCAGCGGGAAAAGAGAGAAGAGAGGAAAAAGCTTACCCTGTCATCGGAGAACCCCAACCGTCGCTGGATCTCAAAACCTTCGAAAAACCGAAGGTATTCTTTTAGATTTGCTCCGATTGGGAGCCGTTTAACGGCATCGGAACCGTCATTAGGACGGTCCGATCTACTTTAGATAAAAAAAAATTCCGGCCACCGAAGACGGTGGCCGGCGGCGGTGGTTAACGGCGAACGCCGACTGACGACGCCGGCCGACTGGCTTCTCTGTTCTAGAGAGAAGCGAGAAAATTGTTTTCTCTCAAAGAAGAGAGAGAGAGGAGAATTAAAAATGAAGGCTGGCCCTTCGGCCAGCCGGTTTTGGACCATATATAGTCCTTCCCGAACGACGTCGTTTGGGAAGGACTATGCGCGTAATTAGAATAGTTAAACCACGTCCGCAGTCATCCCAATTTGTGAACTTTACATTTTAGTCACTAAATCAAATTTATAATCCTTTTAATTTGGTTCTTTAATTTTAATTTTATTCATTTTAGTCCTTTATATTAAAATAATATTTAGGATAAATAGCAGATTTAATCCTTTAATTTTAATAAATAATATTTTAATCCTGAGTTTATTTTTTAATTATTTTAATCTAATATCCGAATTTTATATAGTTTTATTTTAGTCACTAAATAAATAAAATAAGAAATAGCATGAATAATCCCTATAATTTGATTAATTATGAATTAGGTTTTTAATTTTACTTTTACTATAATTTAGTCATTTATTTAAATGTTTTCATTTATTTACTGCTTTTAATATATCGTTCTAGTTGTATTTTTATTGTTTAATTTTACTTGTCTATATTTTTAAATATTTTATCATTATGTATTCATAAATATATAAATAATATTTTTTTAATTATTTAATATTATTTTCAATATCGAAGAAAATGACAGTCTTAATACAACTGGATGTCCTATTCTGATATTTTAAAATTAAAAAAATATATAAAAAAATTATTTAATTTAAATATCAAGAAAAGAGCTGTCTTAAGGCACCTAGAATCCTTTTCAGATTTTAATATTTTTTTATAATTTTGAAAAATAGTATATAATTAAATATATTTTGAATTTTTTAAATTTATAATAATAGAGACAATTTATAATTAAAAAGTACCAATTTTGGGTGTTGTAGGGTGCTAATCCTTCCCTAAACGTAACCGACCACGAATCCCTTTTTATTAAAAAGAACGAATTTTGGTTATAAACGAATTTTTCAAAACCATTTATTCACATCAATTTTCCCGCCAAATAAGATTTCGTGCCCGGACGAAACCGTTACGACAGCTTGGCGCTCCCTGGGGACCGGTCAAACTTTTAAAATCGATTATAAATTGTCTCTATTAATTAAAAATTAAATAATTTTTAATCTTTCTTTTCAAAATTTTTTTATTATTATTTTATAATAATTATATTTTATTTGCAAGTATTTATTATTTATTTTTCTGTCTAAGGTTTGAACATTCTCCTCACACACATTTGCATTGTATAAACATAAAGCTCTATAATTGAGTTGTCCCTTTTAAGTGGGAGTGAAAGCGACGTCTTCGTGAGAATTTATTCTCCGTGTCAGACCTAGCAAGTAACTTTCGGGGTTCATAGCTCTATGTCTTCGTGAGAATTTATTCTCCGTGTCAGGCATAGAGAAATGTATCCCCTCGAATTGAACTCGATCCACTTTAGTCTGTGATGGACTAGGATTGAGGGTTAGCAACCAAGGGGCACTAACAAGGACAATT